ATTATTATTATTATTATTATTATTATTATTATTATTATGTTTTCTGCAGCATGGGGTAAAATGTCTTCTCTTGCTAAGAACTATTGCTGTTTACAGGATAAGCATGTTCTGTGAAAAGAGTAGCAGTTCCATAAACTATAAACTATTCATTCAACTCAAATCATATTAGAAGTAAATAGGAATGCCAAGAATATTCTGATTGTAGTCCTCACAAAACCTCCTTAGGACCAAGAAAATGACCATGAGTCAAAATTTTCCTGCCCACCTTCTTGCAGAGCCACCATCCACTCTGGTTCCATTCTGGGGCCCTGGTGGCGCAGTGGTTAAATGCCTGTACCACAGCCACTCACTCATAGACCACAAGGTTGCGAGTTCAGTACCAGCCAGGGCTCAGGCTAGACTCAGGCCTGAATCCTTCTGAGGTTGCTAAAATAAGTACCCAACTGTTGGGGGGCAATGAGCTTACTGTTGTAAACCACTTAGACACCCCATAGCATGATATGAAGCAGTATATAAATGAAGCTGCTTTGCTTTGATTTGCTTTTGGAGGCTGGAAAAAGAATCAGTTATGCATGAGCACCAAGGGAGAATATTTATTGAAAACATTGACAACTTGCCTTTCCACAAGAGACTAGAAGGTGGCTAACAACAATAAATTAAAATAATTACCCAAAACAAGAATAAACACCAAAAGCAACAGAATAAAAAGGTACCACTAGACAAGAAAACAGTTTAAACCAGCTTTTTGAAAATTAAAACCAATGTAATGAGAGAGAACTAGTGACTCTTAGCCATGAATCCTTTCAAAAAAGGAAGGCTTGCACCAATCCACCAGAAAGTTATTCAAGGGTGTTTGATAAACTTCCATTTGGAAGGAAATTCTAGAAACTGGGAATGACCACGGCAGGGGGGGGAATGCCTTTCTCACCAGTAACCATTAAATGGATTTATGGCCACATTTGACATTCAGGAACACCACTGTTGAAGCTTTGTGAAGGCAGGCAGACTTATACAGGAGAAGGGAGTCCATCAGATAATTGAAAGATTTTGAAGGTCATTGCCACCAGCACTTTGAGTTATGTCTGGAAAGACAGTGGATGCCAGCCCAACAGATCATTCACACATTTCATAGGAAGTACTCAAGAGAGCATGTTACAGTAATTCAGTGATGTAGTTGGATCTGAAGCTGGATCTGAAAGAACTACTCAGTAATGAATCTGTTTTTTTTTCCAGGGAAGTATTATCCTAGCTTGCTAATGTAACTAATTTGTCACCATGGCATATATCTGGACTCTCCAAGAATGGACTATAGCTGGTGCCTAAACTGTTCAAAGCCACAACTGGCTACACCCAAGCATCCAGAGTCAAAGGACGTTATCACACCAGCGGCAAGAAAAGCGGCAGGGAATCAATCCAGAACCATACCGGAATGATGCAGGTCGTGCAGCTGTAATTCCTCTTTGAAAGAGGAATTCAAAAGAGCTGGAATGATGCAGTGATGGCACAAGGATGATGCAGGGATGGGCGGGGTTTGCCACGACGTCGTCTGATCACGGAGGCAAAGGAACCGGAATGATGCAGCGATGGCGCAAGGATGATGCAGGGATGGGTTGGGGTTTGCCGCGACGTCGTCTGATCACGGAGGCAAAGGAACCGGAATTATGTAGTGATGGCGAAGGGATGGGGCTGCTTTAGACCCCGTGTGATAACGTCCAAAGCTGGATCTGAAAGAACTGCTCAATTATGAACCTGTGTTTTCCAGGGAAGTGTTAGTTTATCTAACACATGCTAAAACAATATTTCCAGATCTGCTATATAGGAATCTGAGAATATGCACCTCTGTCTATTCTGGATTAAACTTCAAAAGATATCTGGCCTTCTCCATTACCATCTCCACACACCAGTTCAGCATCTCAACATATTCTTTAAAATGAGAAAGGAAATATAGTTGGCTGTTATTGTCATGCACGCATCAATTCCCAAGCAACCTATTCCACAATTTAATGTAAATAGTAAACAGCACAAGTAACAAAATGGATCCTAGTTTGATCCCATTAGCCAGGAGCCAAGGTGTCAAACAGGACTTCTCAAGGATTATATTCTGTAACCCTCTACGATTTCTGATATGGGAGGATTAAATTATCTTTTTGCTGCAATCCTAGAACCCAAGATTGTGGCAAGCACAAAACCTTTCTGTTCATGTTTTGTTGTGTTGTTGTTGTTTTCTTGGCACTCATTGAGCAGAAGAGAGTATATATTCCTAAAATTATTGTTATTTTAAAATAAAAATTAAGTTCAGCACTAGCCATTGTGCTATATGCTAACCAATTATCTTATATAAATACAGGCTGTTTGGTAGAGAATCATGATGCAGAGTGACATTTCATGAGAACTTCTAACAAAAACACACAAGAAAAGGAGGACAGGGTAAAGAGAGTTCTAATTTCCATCTTTTGT